CTGCCACCGTCGCCATCCCTGTCATCGCCACTGCCACCGTTGCCGTTCCTGGCGACGGCAGGATCAATGGCGATGGCAGGGATGGCGACAGCGGCAATGGTGGCAGTGGGGATGGCGACGGCAGCAATGGCGATGGTGGGGATGGCGACGGCGGCAGTGGTGCTGGCAGGGATGGCGATGGGGGAACAGCAACGGTTGGCGATGGAGGGGATGGCGACAGCGTCGCCATTGCCACTGTCACCGTTCCCCCCATCGCCACTGCCACCGTCGCCATCCCTGCCATCGCCACTGCCACCGTCACCATCCCTGTCATCGCCACTGCCACCGTTGCCGTTCCTGGCGACGGCAGGATCAATGGCGATGGCAGGGATGGCGACAGCGGCAATGGTGGCAGTGGGGATGGCGACGGCGGCAATGGCGATGGTGGGGATGGCGACGGCGGCAGTGGCGATGGCAGGGTTGGCGATGGGGGAACAGCAACGGTTGGCGATGGAGGGGAGGCGACAGCGTGCCATTGCCACTGTCACCGTTCCCTCCATCGCCATGCCGCCGTCGCCATGCCTGCCATCGCCACTGCCACCGTCACCATCCCTGTCATCGCCACTGCCACCGTTGCCGTTCCTGGCGACGGCAGGATCAATGGCGATGGCAGGGATGGCGACAGCGGCAATGGTGGCAGTGGGGATGGCGACGGCGGCAATGGCGATGGTGGGGATGGCGACGGCGGCAGTGGCGATGGCAGGGTTGGCGATGGGGGAACAGCAACGGTTGGCGATGGAGGGCCGGCTTCAGACTGCAACTTCCCATGTATGCTGGCATGCTGCTGGGCATGGAAGTCGATAGAGAGGTGTCAGAGAGAGGTTTCACTTGGAATTCCTTTCAAGGCACATACTAAGTGCTGCTGGCAGGTTCACAGGTGACAGCCTTGGAGCATTTGTCTTACTCGATGCCATAATCAATCCATGAAATTTAGAATAGCTTTAGTTTCATTCTGGACTCTTTCATAGCTGGAACCTTGACGGACTGCATGCTACAATCCAGGTACGGCATGCAGTGGACCGGTGACACTCAAGAAATCCTGCATACACTTCCTTAATCTTAGACGCCATAGTTCTTCCATTTTGTTGTAAGTACAGATTTACAACGATTACTACTGCGCTTGACATTGAGCATCTAACAGCGACTCACTGCCAACACAAAGCGTTGACTACAGATGTTTATGCCAT